CCCCCCCCCCCCCCCTGCTTCTTTAGTGCTGCCATGCCTAGGTTTTTTGCACGGGTTCTGGGGACCAGATCCTCATCTACAGACTAATTGATCTTCCCAGCCCCTCTCAAACTCTTTCAAATTGTATAGAGGGCACAGAAAGATGCTGGGAGGCCTTTATCCCGGTTCATCTTCATCTCCAAACGCTGTCCTTTGCAGTCAGTTCTAAGCTTCTTTTTCTTTAACCTTTTTTTAATTAATTAAATTTATTCATTTGTTTTTACATCCTGATTGAAGTTTTCCCTCCCTCTTCTCCCCTCCCCTCCCCCCACCTCCACCTGCCCCCATCCACTCTTCCTGTTTCTGTTCCGAAAGACGCAAGCCTCCCAAGGGTATCGACAAAGTATGGCATATCAAGTTGAGGTAGGACTAGCTCCTCCCCTTGCGTTAATACTGGGCAAGGCAACCCAGTATGAGGAATCGGTTCCCAAGAGCCAGCCAAAGCATTGGGGACAGCCCCTCCTCCTACAGTTAGGAGCCCCACAAGTAGACCAAGCTACACAACTGTCACTCACATGTAGAGGGCCTAGGTAGGTCCTTCAGGCTTCCTGACTGTCGTTGGTCCAGACTCTGAGCTGCTATGAGGGCAGGTTAGTTGTTTCTGTAGGTTCCCTTGTTATGACCTTGACCCCTGCTCTTACAGTCCTTCCTTCCACTCTTCAGGGGGGTTCTCCGAGCTTAGTGCAAGGCTTGGCTGTGGGTCTCTGCACCTGTTTCCATCAGTTACTGGATGACGGCTCTCTGATGACAACTGGGGGAGTCACCAGGCTATGAGGATAGCAGAATATTGTTAGGCATCATTTTCCTTATGTTGCCTTTTTTTCTCCTTTCTAATCCTGTTTGGTAGGATAGTTCTAAGTTCTTTTAAGTTCCCTGACTCTCCTAAAGAATGCCTTGCTCATAGGAAAGGTTCACTAAGATGTGTATCAGGAGAAAACAGCTGAGGTTGGATTCCAGAGTTTATTCCTCAGGACTTGCCCTGTTGCCCTGGCAAAAGAGCTACAGCAGAGTGAACCTAGCTGTCACCTTCATTAACTGAATGGCCTTGAATAAATTATTTAACCAGCCCACTGCCAACCATTTAGATCACTCCCCTCTAAACAGAACAATAAAAGCTCCTCCTTCCTTTAGAGCTCTTGGGAGGATTAAGAGAGGCCACTCAGCAGAGAGTGTGCCTCTTCACCAACGTGGCTGTCATAGACACTGTTACATTGGTTCATTCTTCAACCCTGGGAGTGAGCTTGCAACTCCTTTTTCTAATTACATGTGTGTGTGTATACATGTGCGTTTGAATGCACACAGGTGTGTGGGTGTATGTACATGCGCATGTGTGATTTGCAGGTAAGTATGAGCGGGAGTTGCTTCTTGACTCCTTCACTCCAACTTTAGAATGTCTGTCTGTCTCTGGTACCCAAAACCTCCTCTCCTTCTCTTCTGTGCCATCACATTGATGGAAAACAGAGCTCTTGTCTCATTTTCCAAAGAGCTCTGGGTCTCACGTCTCCTCCCGTGTTTCTTCTAGAAAAACAGGTTCAGTGCCCGGGCCGTGGTCAGGAGCATTGATGTTTGTCAGTTGAGTTGCTTGAATGCTCACGCACCTTCTCATGAGAAGATTCTGAGCTGTGTTGTCTGCGTCTGTCCCTGTCTCATTATGTCTCAGAGCTCAGTTTTATTTTGCAAACTAAAGCTTTTCCTCTGGCATTTGTATTAAAATAGCTCAATCGTAAAAATAGAATACCCCACATTTCCCCCAAAGACAAATTCATACAGAGAATCTTATCACATGTCTATTGTGTTTTTCTTCTTCTTTTCCCTCTGTTGTTTTTGTTTGTTTGGTTGGTTGGTTTGGTTTTTTGAGACAGGATTTCTCTGTATAATAGCTCTAGTTGTCCTGGAACTAGGTCTGTAGAGCAGGCTGGCCTCAAACTCACAGAGATCCACCTGCCTCTGCCTCCCAAGTTCTGGGATTAAAGGTGTGCGCCACCACCACCCGGCTGTGTTTTTCTTAAAGGGAGAACAAGCTGGCTAGAGAGAGAAGAGAAGAATCCTCGGCCCTTCTCACGTCTCACCTAGTCTTCAGACTCCAAGGAGCTGCTCCTCATTAGTCTGACTTTCCCTTCGACTGTCTAAAATAACACCAGACTGTAGCGACATCTACTGGTAAGATCAAGCAGTCCATTAAGGGAATTTCCAGAATCTAGTCTGTTTGTGTGTTATTGGAACACACACAGGCAAATACCCAAATCAATACTCTTTGCTAATAAGATGCACCAAACCATTTCACTAAAATCACTTCCCTGTTCATTATTTCTGAATCTTGAATCTTTTCTGTTTGAAATAATATTGTTATCTCTGAATAACAATCATAGCTAGACAGGGCTGCCAGGCAGCACGTTGAAGGGACCGAGTGTGTGAGTGTGCACACAGAACCTCAGCAAGACATGGCACTAAGGTAACTTACATGGAATTGAGCGGTTGCGAGCCATGAATAACACAGCAGTGTTATGAACTGATGAAGAGTCCCAGCAATATTGGAGGGGAGGCTCAACCATTCAATCAAATGCATAAAAGCAAAGACTGGGAATTCAGGGCTTCAACGCAGAAACTCCGCTTGAATGCTCAGCCCCCTGTCCTGTGGGCTTCAGACTAGACTGCAAATGAGCTTCTACTTGAACGTCCAGCCCATCCCGTTTTGTACTTGTGTGAACATGGCACCGTGTTTTCAATTCTCTATACTAACTCAGGAAATCTGGGGGAAGGGTAATGGGAATTCTTTGTACACTTCTTAAAGTGCTTCGTAAATCTAAAATTTTGTTAAAGAAAAAAAAAGAATAAAAGAGAAACAAAATTTATTTGAAAGCCAGTTTTGGAAGGCGGCTCTCTCTCTCCTCCAGGGTCACATAACCTTGGCTAAGTCACCAAGGTCGCCAACAAAGACCTAGTCGGTGTAGTGAAGTTGAAATACTCCGCCCTTCCAAGGGCTAAGTAGGAAGAAAGCCATGCCGTTTTACTAGAGAGTCTACCCAGAGGGGAAACATTATAGTCCAATCACCAGCTTTAATTCATCTTTCCCTGGGCGGAAAAGCGATTGCTCAATTGTTTAATATTCAACTGCCAACGTGGGAAACGGGAGGAAAGGACAGTTGCTGGGCAGGCTGAGGAAAGACAGCCACTGACAGAGTGCTGAGCTGTGCTGGGGAGGGTGGGGTTGAGGCGAGATAGGTGTGATTTCAGAATGAAATCAGGAAAGGGGTGAACTCTTGACTCAGAGGACAATGACCCCCCCACCCCCATTAGCAGCTAATAGCTCAGCAGAGAAGGGACGAGATCTGGGGGTGAGACTTGGCTCAGCTCTGGGTCCTTGTCCTGTGAAACTCAGTGGAAGAATGGAAGTCAAGGGCAATAGAACTAGTTTTAAAAGAAAAGTCTGATTTTTAAAATGAAGGGAAAAACATGGCCTGGGAAGTCATAGGCCTTGGGAGAAACTTACTATTGCTGTTTAGTGAAATTAACATGATATCAGATTAAATAATTTCTAAGTAAAGTTCATATCCAACAGATAAAGGATCCTCTCAGCCTTAATCAGAGAAGCTTCGATCTGTAGCAAATAGTAGTGAAAACAGACTCATGGCTGCTCAAGATGGTGAGGTTGAGGGAGAGTTGAGTGTGAGCCCTAAACAGCACATTTATGCCACCCGCTAAGGCTCAGGGAGACTGTAGGAGACAGGGCAGAACAGATGGAAGAGCCTGAGGATAAGGAGAAGGCCACAAACGCCATCTTCTGGACAAGACTCAGCTACTGCAATCATGAACTCACAGCAAATGTAGCGGCTAGCCCGGCCCTCTTGAGATTGGACCTGACAACAGTCAGTCACGGATGGGGCGGAGCCCACAGGTCCTATCCCTTTCCTGCTGAACGGCTAGTGAGGGAGGGGAGCGTCATTGTCTTCAGTTGTGTAGCCACAGGTGAGCTCACCAGGCTCCAGGCGATATTCTAGATTCGTGTCTCAGAGAAGACCCTGGGCAGCAACAACAGATCCCAGAACCAAAGGACTTAACAAAGGGGTGCGGGAGACAAGGAAGGGTGGGGGTGAGAATAATCGGAATGTGTTACATACATCTATGATATTGTCAATGAACAAATGTAATTAATAAATGTATTTTGAAAGTTCTTCTTCTAGAGAGGGAAAGATTAAATAAGGAGGCTATTGTGAAGAACGGAGCTCTGCAAGGCGAGCGGAGGTCCAGACGAGACTCCTGGGAGAGGGGAAACCCCACCGGACTGCTGGTCCAGGGACTTTTTCTAGGACTTGTGGCAGATACAGAACAAAGACTGAGGTCATGTTCATTGAGATTTAAGGCTCTGACCGTCTCCCACATTGAGAGAATGGAGGACCCACATATAATGTGCACATGTCCGGGGCCTAACCGGGGAGACAGTCACACACTCAGATTACACAGGGCTCGGTCAGCTAGGGGAATGGTCAGGCTTTGAAGGCTCTGCTCCGCTCCTGCCTGGCTAGCTTGTCTGTTATTGTTATGACCTTGAAGGGGCTGCTCTCCTTAGAGCTTGGCAGGGTTTATCAGCCATTAACTAGACCGCGCTCCTTTCATTATCACATCTACGTGGCCAGCCTGTCGCTTTCCTACTGCGTGGAGTAGTTCTTATCACAGCCATTTACATGTGTTCTAGCTTTTCTTGGTTACCTCATGCTTGAGTCTGTCTCAGGGGGTGTCTGGGGAGGTCTTCCTTCTGGAATAGATGGAATCTGCTTGTTAGAAACAATCCTTACCTACAATTTTGTCTGTTTCATTTCGCTGCATTAGAAGCGAGAATATTTAAGGACAACAGTGCTTTGCCTACGCCCCCCCCAAGGGCTTCTGGGGGAGATAGCGGCTCTACCAACATGATCCCCTCACCAGAGTTCAACCTGCCTCTTGGATGGTCAGTTTGATTATTGCCCTGGCATTCCTGGCCATGCCATTTTAATCCTAAATTGCTTTTTCTACACCAAGAAGAAATTTGACATTATCAATAATATATTGGAAAAAAATGAGCTTGGCAATAATGTACGGTGAGCTAGGGATGCAACTCAGTTGATAGAGTCCCTGCCTAGCATACAAAGATATATATTATATCGTTTTCTTATTATTTTGTGCATGTACATGTGTGTGTTGTGTGTGTGTGTGTTAGAGTCATGTGTGTATATTAGAGTTACTGTCATGGTTCTTGTGTGGCGGTCAGAGGTCAATTTGTGAGATGCAAGTCCTTTTACCTTCCTAGGGACCAAACTCAGGTTGTCAGACTTGACAGAAGTGCCTTTACCCACTGAGCCATATCACTGGTCCCATGTTAACTTACATTTGCTAAGGGAAGAGAGGAAAGACAAAGCCACCCAAACAATGACTAACCCTTCTCCCTATGGAGTCATAAATGGTAGAGAGAAGGCACAGCAGAAACACTGAACGAATTTGCCAGGATATTTTCATTCCATGGAAGACTGTTTGGATGGACTCCAGCTTAGATTCTGAGTTTGTCCCGGCTAAGCACAGCCTTTTTGGTGGCTTGTATAGACCACCACTCCCTAGCTGTGTCCCAGACTCACATTTTGGATGGCTGTACATCCCAATCTCCATAGCGACATTGGCTCATGTAGCTTTGCCCCTACAGTTGACCAGGCTGCCGGTCCTGCCCAGGCTCCAGGCTGCAGGCACCTCATCACAAGGGCGACCCCATGGGTGTCCACCTGCAGTCATTTTATTGACACTGTTAATTTGCCAAAGTTAAGAGTGTTTAAATCACCACCTCTGCCCTGTTAACATTCAAATGCCTTTCTCTTGGATGTAGCGTTTCTTTCGTCTTCAAATGCTCATCTCCTCACTGGTGTTGGGGAGTGGTTCGGCTGGGGAACTCACCGGCACCCATCTCCACAGCTCTGTCTCTTGCCTTCACGGGGGTTGGCTGGCTTGGCTGCTTGCTTCCTGGGCGTTGTGCCTGTCTTCTGTGAGGGAGTCTCTGCAGTTGTCGCGGAGGAAATCCGCAAAGCTGTGAGAAAGCAAACACGGTCCACGTTGATTTCATCAACCCGGATCAAACTCCCAGAGAATCCAGTGCTAGATGGCTCATCCCCAACAAATTAAGTTTCCTGGTGCCATACAATCCCCAGAGCATTAGAAAGCATAACTACGTTGATATTGAACTCCGGGTACATGTCATTTCTTCCAAGAAGATGGGCGTAGAGATAGGTTACCTGGACTAGCTTAAGGGCCTTAGGAAGGGTCTGGTTTCAGTCACACAAATAGTGCAGAGGTCATTTGGGTTACTAGCCACATCTGATCCTAGTTGTTGGAGCTTGGGGGAGCCCCTAGCTATAGAGATAATGCAAAGGGTCATTCAGACTATAAGGTATCTCTGAATTTGGTTGTGGGAGATGGGAGAGCCCTCTGTTCTAAGGGTTCATTCATATCCACCCCTTCAGCCCCCGTCCTGATTATAGGAGATTGGTGTGGCTTTGCCCAACAGATAACACAGATCACTAGGGTTTTTTTTTTTTTTTTTTTTTTTAAGCTGGGGTTCAAGACAGGGTTTCTCTGTGGAGCATCCCTGGTTGTCCTGGAGCTCCTTTGTAGAACAGGCTGGCCTCAAACTCACAGAGATCGCCTGCCTCTCCCTCCAAATGTTGAAATTAAAGGCCTGCACTGATCACTGAACTATCAATCACTTCTA